CACTATGCTTATTGAAAAAAATCTGCACATATCAAAAAAGATATATGTGCCTCTATGTTCACTGCAGAGGACCATTATTTACAATAGCCAAGATATACAAGCAACCTAGGTGCCCATCAACAGATGAATGTTTAAAGAAGATATATAGGGATTCCCAGGTGGCTCAGCAGTTTAGCACCTGCCTTTGGCCCAGGGCGTGATCCTGGAGACCCGGGATCGAATCCCACATCGGGCTCCCTGCATGGAGCCTGCTTCTCCCTCCTCCTGTGTCTCTGCCTCTCTCTCTGTGTGTGTCTCTCATGAATAAATAAATAAGATCTTCTTTAAAAAATAAAAAAATAAAGATGATATCTATCTATATATAATGGAATATTACTCAGTCCTTAAAAAAAAAAGAATGGGATTTTTGCCATTTGGGACAACATGGATGGACCTAGGGGATACTGTGCTAAGTGAAGTAAGTCAGATAGGGAAAAAAAAGTACCACGTAATTTCACGTATATGTGGAATCTAAAAAACGAACAAAAAAAATCCCCAGATTCATAAATGTGGAGAACAGGTGGTTGCCAGAAGGAAGGGGGTGTGAGGATGGGCAAGGCACGTGAAGGGGATCAAAAGATACAAATTTCCAGTTATAAAATAGGTAAGTCACAGAGATGAAAAATATAACATAGACTATAGTCAACAACCTTGTACGGTGACACTTACTGTGGTGAGCATCGTTTAATACACAGAATCGCTTCCTGGGTTTTAAAGTCTATGAGATAGAGCAAGTCCTCCGTTCCTGCCCCCTTTCCCCCTCAATTGGTATGCGTTCAGCTGCAGGTAGCAACTAAAAGCGGCTCAAACTAATAAGAGTTTACTTTTCATCTAGAACAAGAAGTCTGGAAACAAGCACCTAAGAACTCTAGTCCAAAGGAAGTTAGTCATCCTTCTAAACTCCAGGCAGAGAAAGACCTGAAGAGTCTGATCACTCCCGTAGTAAAGTCCCAGTTTTGGAGACTCCAGTTCTTAACAGAGTAAGTGATTTTCAGCCTCCCACCTCTTGGTTAAAACCGCTCTCCAGCACTCTCCTGCACCAAATCACCAACGCTAATTTTAAATTAAGAGAAGGAAAATTGAGAAAATAGGAAACTGACTTTGGGGAGTGTAAGAACAAACAGGAAAAGGGAAATGAAAACATTTGGTTGATACAGATCATCTGACTGTAAAAGAAAACAATAATTTGGGGCACTTGGGTGGCTCAGTTGGTTAAGTGATTCGATTTTGGCTCAAGTCACAATCTCAGGGTCAGGAAATCGAGCCCCGCATTCGGACTCCACACTGGGCATGGAGCCTGCTTAAGATTTTCTCTCTCTCCCTCTGCCCTTCCCCAAATGTGCTCTCTTTGGGAAAAAAAATAATTTTTACGGTTAATAAAAATTCAAAATTTAGAAATGCATATGAACCTAAAGCTCCTCTAAAAAAATAAGGTCCTGGAACGCCTGGGTGTCTCAGTGGTTGAGCATCTGCCTTTGGCTCAGGTCATGATCCCAGGGTCCTGGGATCAAGTCCCACATCGGGCTCCCCGCATGGAGTCTGCTTCTCCCTCTGCCTGTAGCTCTGCCTCTCTGTGTCTCTCATGAATAAATAAATAAAATCTTAAATTAAGTAAAATAAAATAAAATCCTTAAAAAATAAAGGACAGGTAATCCTGGCTGGCTGGTTAACGAAATAAACTGGCTTGTTCTCGTGGCATACTTAGTATTTATGAGATTTTTAATTAAATAGAAAAATGTGAATTATCATGGTTTGGGTGATGTGCTGTTTTCCAAATTAAAAACAGCATATGAAAAAATATCCCTCAAATAGCCATAAATAATTTGATGAATTGGCAATAATTTACCTCCCAATGACTTCATTTGAAGTGCGAAGCAACTTTGATAAATCAAATGAACTCACATGTCCTCTCACATAACAAATATGAAAATAAATTACATTTAATGTTTTGCGTATACTTTCTAAAAACAATTGATCGGTAAAAAAAATGCACACGAACAACAGGAGTTCTTATAAGGGACAAACTCATTTAATCCAATCCGATGGCAACCTAAACAAATGAGAATTTATCATTTCAATCTGAAAAAGCAGGATGAGGGGATTTGGGAGATGAAGAGTCCCTTGGAATCATGCGGAGGGCAGCCCGGGGGGCTCAGTGGTTTAGCACCTGCCTTCCGCCCAGGGCGGGATCCTGGAGACCCGGGATCGAGTCCCATGTTGGGCTTCCCGCATGGAGCCTGCTTCTCCCTTTGCCTGCGTCTCTGCCTCTCTCTCTCTCTGTCTCTAATGAATAAATAAAATCTTAAAAAAAAAAAAAAGGAAATCATGTGGAGCTAAGCCCTCATGTTGTAGAGGAAGAAACTGAGAACCAAGTCCAGCCCCCGGCCCAGAGCAGGAGCCCCGCGCTCCTGCGAGCGCCGCCTGGAGCCCGAGCCGCAGGCCCCGGCTGACCCGCTCGCTCCAGCCCGCCTGGCTCCCAGGCCGCCTCCCGCAGTCCCGGACCCAAGCCCGGGAGCCCTTCATCCCGCAGTGGCCTTGCAAACTTTATTTTTCTTTCTCCCTAAAGAATGCTGGCGGTTGTCAAAAGGAACTGCTGATCTTATCAACAGCAACCGTATCTCAAAATTACCTTCAGGAGCCAGAACTGGAAGCCCTTCCAGGGCGAAGGCCCTCCCAGCTCCGGGAAGCGCTGTGCCCCCGCCCCCCAGGCCCGCGGTTCACTTCCCTAACAAGCCCCACTGTGCTAAGTTAGGGTCGCACTGCGGCCCGGGTCAGCCAGCGTGGATCCTGCAGGCTGCCACAGCGGCAGCCAGCGACCGGACCATCCCGGCCCAGGATGCCGTCGCCCACCGACCACTCGGCCCAAACCGCCTTGCTAATGCCCACGCTCAAGGGGGGTTGTCGGGCCGCCGGGGCCGGTGGTTGGCGCCTGCTCTGGCCCAGGGCGTGACCCCGGGCTCTCGGGTCGGGTCCCAGTCGGGCTCCCCGCGTGGAGCCTGCTGCTCCCTCTGCCTGGGTCTCTCATGAATAAATAAGATCTTTTTTAAAAGAAAGAGGGAATTGTCCGTAAAGCCGGGGCTGCTTTGCGTGCACATCCACCTCAGCCTCTCCCAGGGCGTCCCAGGGTCCACCCGCTCCCCCAAATTACCACCGCGCCTCCCCCGGTGTGTGCGGGCTCCTCAAGGCCCGGCTGGAAGGTCCTAATACAGGCCCAGCGGTGGAGTTCCCCTCCCCAGGGGCCCACTCGGGAACCCCCCTCCCACGGAATCTCGGCCTGACTTCCACACCTGCGCCTACCTGGTTACCTGATTAGCAGTTTTCACTGGGGTTCGGAGGTGCCTCTCCTCCCCGCCTCCTGCCCGGGCCCCATCTCATCCCTGCTTATCATCTCGCACGATGGCATCACTCTCTCTCAGCGACGCCCACCAGTGGGATCCCTGACCCCCCATGTCCCATCCATCTGCAGCCGCCGTGGGGGGCCACCGGATCTGCCCCTCACTGCCACCTCCCCACCAAGCGGCACATCCCGGTCCGCTGTCTACCAGCTGGCTTCTAGGAGGTCTCCTGGTCTCGAGGTCTCCCTCATTAGTTTCAAAACAAAGGGGTTGTGTGACAACACCCAGAACATACTCCCTCTTGCCCAGACGAGATTCCCGCCACGGCCTACAAGGTGTTCCACAGCCCCAGGCCAGCCTTCCTCTCCGGGCTCAGGTCGGTATCTCCCCTCCCCGAAGCAGCCTCTCTACTCCATCCTGTTCGCAGTTCGACTCATCACAGTTCCTCCAACCGCTGGGCCTTTGCACGTGCTATTCCTTCTAACCAGAACGTGATCCCCTTCCTTCACTTGTGAATGTCCCTGGATCCATCAGAGCTCAGCTCGGTCATCTTTTTTTATGGACACCTTCGCTAACAGCCAATCCTGGGCCAGATTCTTGGTGCAGGCTCTGGAGAACTGTTTTTAGCATTTATCTGAATTTGTCATCATAAACTCACTTTGTTTTTATTTAATTAATGTCTATCTTTTCTGCTAGCTGGACATTTAAGACCATAAGGAATACAGTAGTTTGGGCTCAAAAGGACCATCTTCGCACTGTGCCTACTGGAGTCCCTGGCATAATAAACTGTTCAATAATCTTTCGCAGACTGAATGAAATTATCATTGTATGCCTGAGCTCAGGAAGGAATGGAAGAGATCGGGAACAGGAATGCAAGTCAGCTATCTAATAAATCTGGTCTCCGTTCTCTGGCCATTCTGTACATCCATTCACCCAACAGCTGTTTACTGACGGAGTCCATGTGGAATGCCTGATTAATACTGTCGCTTTTAAATAAATTAAAAATACAGAAGATTAAGACCTAAAAAATGGCAAGGTTTAAAAAGCATTTACAAAAATGTAACAGGAGAAAGCTTGCTTCATTTCAGAGGCAGATTTCTGCTTTGTGTTACTTGTTTTTAAGATTTTTTTTTTAAGATTTTATTTATCTTAGAGAGAGACAGAGGTGAGCACAATTGGAGGAGGGGCAGAGGGCGAGAATCCCAAGCAGACTCCTCGCTGAGCACAGAGCCGGATGCAGGGCTCAGTTCCTAATCTCAAGCAGGCTCCATGCTCAAGGAGCCTGATGTAGGGCTTGATCTCACAGCCCTGGGCTGAAATCTAGAGTTGGACGCTTAACCGACTGAGCCACCTAGGTGCCCCATTTTATCTTTTTAAAGATTTTATTTTTTTAAGTAATCTCTACACCCAACATGGGGCTCGGACCCACAACCCCAAGATCAAGAGTCACATGCTTGGGCAACTGAGCCAGCCAGGTGCCCCTGTGTCACTTTAAAATAACATGAGAATTTTGTTTTATTAGATTCTGCCTTTTTGGGAGCTGGACAGGCCAGCATTACCACTGCAAATACACACAGATGCTATCCTTTCACTGGTTCTAAGAAGCTCGGACACACAACATGAAAGTTAAAATATCAGGTTCTCTTTATTTGTAACAGGTAAAAACTGAAGTTCGGCCATTTAACATAGAATTAAGAACAGATATGGTTACGTCTGTAACAAGAGGACAGTGGGTGTTCATCCCCAGCACTGTGTTTCTGGCTTGTTTCTGTGGTTAGGCCTGGTCATTTCCCCAGGAATTGCCTTTCAATAGGAAGATCATCTTCAGGGCAAAAAAAAGTTTATCAGACTCTAGTTTCAGTAGTGGAGATTGCATTCACTTATTTATACACATCCCCTTGCCCTATCTTGCTCCAACCTTCTTACTGTGGTTCTATTGGCATCCGTCATTTATTATACCTCCCGAGTATTTACAGTTAAGAATTACAGTTAAGAATTGTTCCACATGGCACAACTCAGTGGTCCGCATACAGAAGTCACACAATCCTCACTGCACGGAAATACTTTTCTCCAGCTTTGGGGAAATAATTGTACGTTCATTTAAACACACACGGCGAACCTTTCTTAGACAAACATAATGCCTGAGGCCCATGTGGCAAGACAGATTGCTTCATAATTCTTAGCACAGTAAGTTGTATCTTTAGAAACTGAGACAAACCAAAGAATATTTAAAAACAAAAAACAGAAAATCACACATACGAGTCGCACGACAATTGACCAATACATTGAAATTTTGTCAGAACGGCTCTTCAGTGAGGTTTTTCATTTCAAACAGGCCGGGGTGGGGGGGGGGGGGAATCCTAAAAGGTATGTTTTTTTTATCCATGTGGCTGTCCTCTTGAGTTGTTTTTTCACTTAGAGTTTATAATACTTTTAAAAGAATTATTACAAGAGGGATCATCTGTCTCTGTCAATTTATCGTGAGAAGTTATCAACAGCAGCTTTCAGTGCTCCACCGTCAGGAACACTGAGAAGCTGGAAGGCAGAGACACACTTTGCAAGGAAATGTGTGGCCCTGTATTTCCTTAGGTGGAAGCCCCCTGTAGTTCTCCCTCACCTAATTTTTAAAAGTCATCCCTTTAAAAACTAATGGAATAGGATAAATATTGACTATTTTTCTACTGCTCTTTAAAACCTTTTTTTCTGATTTTCACTAAGTTTCTGCTTACTGTTTGGATAGTATTTGCCCTGATGTGCTGCACGAAAATTTCCCTCGGCCCACTTATAAAGCTCAGATGGTTCACTACAAATCCCTGAATGCCAAAGAGCACTCCACAGATACCTCCAATGAGGGAGGTAGGGGGTGACAGCAGAGAGGTGCTGCTAAGAAATCACCAACAGGAAATGCCCAAAAAGCCGGAGAAGGGGACAAGACACCTGCTCTACTCCATCCACAGCCTTCTCTTTGTGTTCTTTTTAAATCAGATTTTATTTATTTATTAAAGATTTTATTTATTCATGAGAGACACAGAGAGAGAGAGGCAGAGACACAGACAGAGGGAGAAGCAGGCTCCATGCAGGGAGCCTGACGTGGGACTCGATCCTGGGTCTCCAGGATCAGGCCCTGGGCCGCAGACAGGCGCTAAACTGCTAAGCCACCTGGGCTGCCCAGCCTTCTCTTTGAAACATGGAGCAATTTTTGTATTTTTAATGTCGTATCCAGTTTCTAGAGGTCCCTGAGAGCTCAGAAACATGAGTGTACCTATAACAACTGTAGTCTTCTGGAGAACGTGTAACTTCTAGTATCAATTTTCTATTGGAAATATGGTGCTTTAAAAAAAAAAAAGAAATATGGTGCTTTTAGAATTGGATTTGGTCTTCCAGGCTTCTTTCCTACACCCTGCTTTCCATAAATGACATTTCATTTCTGTAAGTGCAAGAAGCAAGAAGTTATACTAAACCAGCTAAAACAGAAATGCCAGATTTAAATTCTGGCTTGAATGCTTTGGCTGAAATGACAAAAGAGCTCATCCTGGGGGCCACCTACGAGCAAGGAGAGGAGTCCTCCCTGACCTTCCTTAGCGGGGTATGAACACTTACAAACCACGACATATTTTGGAGGATGGTGATCTGGAGTCCTTTGTCACTTACAGGACTTTAATTTCACGTATTTCATTTGGTCATAACCAAACCATCCTCTAGGCTTCACATAATCCATCTTTGCAAAGAAGCACGAGCCACTGTTTGAGAGGGACTCTAAATGAGAAAGTCATGTTCGCGGATAGTTTCCTTTGTGTTACTCCTTGCACACCATCATCCAACGAATTCTGCGATATGACTTCTTCTTCTTTGAAAGTAACGATAGGACTTCTTCCTTCTTTGAAAGTAACTTGCACACTTAACGCTTTTCTTCTTCTTGGGGGTGGCTTTCTCTTCTCCACCAAAACCCAACTAAGGACGCTGTACCAATTTACTCTTACTTCCTTCCTGTTCACTGAGTTTAAAATGGGTATAGGCGAGGATGCCAAATAACGTGCACAAGATGCCAAGACCCTGATTAACTGACAGTGGATCTTTAAATAAAACATATCCTCCAAACAAAGTGATGCAGAACTTGAAGTGTCCAAACATGTTATAGCTGAGGTTTTTGGCTAAGGATCCAAAAAAAAAAAAGAGAGAAAAAACAAAACAAAACCAAACCCAACAAGCTAGACTGTGAAGTCCACACACTCCCACACACGGAGAAGGGAAGCAAGCCAGATGTCATACTCTCGCACACGCACGAGGCCTTCCCGAGGCTTCCAGGACTGCGGGAAGCACACACCCAATCTGCGCCCGCCCCTCCCCCACAGAGGAAAGAAGAACCTCAGTCCGGCTGGATTCTCGTTTTCTCAGTGGGACAGGAAACCGCCTCAACTACCTTCTGTCTCCGCCCCCCCGCCCCCCAAGAAGAGCTAAGGGCGGGGGCTATGCTCCAGGGCTGGACGGAGAAGATGCTCTGCGGCGATTAACCAACCACCTGCCCTCCCGGGCTACCTCCAGTACAGTCCCTTGGCAGCGGGGCCGCGCGGCACCCACCAACCGCGGGCTCCAGGCAAGCGCCCCAGGGCGCCCCCCGCCCCCCAGGGCACCCTTCCAACCGCCCAGGGCGTGCCCCTCGCTCTCTAGGGTGCCCCCTGGCCACCAGGGAGCCCCCCAACCGCCCAGGGCATGCCCCTCGCCTCCCAGGGTACCTCCACCCCCCAGGGCACCCCCCGGGGCACGCCCCCCGCCCCCAGGGCACCCCAGGGGCACGCCCCCACCCCCCAGGGCACCCCCGGGGCACGCCCCCACCCCCCAGGACACCCCCCGGGGCACGCCCCCCGCCCCCCAGGGCGCCTCCGCTTGGGAGGGCGACGGGGAAGGGGCGAGCGAGGCCGAGCACCCACGAGCACCCACGACACGCCCTGCTGCGCTCCCTGCCAGCGTCCCGCGCGCCGTAGGCGCCCCCTTTCCCTTCACCGCGGCCCGCGCAGGCCCCCGCCCCCCCCAGCTCCGCCGCGTCCCGCTCCCGAGGCTCCGGCCCGCAGCCGCCGCGCACTGCGCACAGCTGAACGCACGGCGCTCCTTCAGGGGCTCTTCCCATACTTGACGTAGGTTGGCTTTTTTCCAAATAAATTATGACGTCACTGCTTTCCCGGGGTCCGATGTGTCGGGCTCCAGGTGTCCGCGGCCCCGCGACGCGCCCACCCGCACCTGGACGCCCACCTCGCCTCGACGCCGCGGGGACGCGGCTGCCGGGCCGCCAGGAGGGCAGGGAACGGGGGCCGTGACCACGGGGACGGGCGCCCCCCCCGGGAGACCACGGGGACGGGCGCCCCCCTCCCCCCGGGAGACCACGGGGACGGGCGCCCCCCCCCCCCGGGAGACCACGGGGACGGGCGCCCCCCCCCCCCGGGAGACCACGGGGACGGGCGCCCGGACCGCCCCCCGGGACCTGTGCCCACCGGCCCGCGGACGCGACCCCCGAGGACCCGGCCCCGGGGCGCGCGCACACCCGCCACCGCCCGCCCGCCTGCGCTCGCGGCGCCCTTCCCGAGTAGCTCACTGTCCCTGGAAGAGGCTCATCCTCGAGGGAAGGGAAATTCGAGGCAAAAAGCAAAAACCCCACAGTATATTATATAGAACCCAAAAGGAGCAGCGCATCCCCGGTATTCCCAGCTCCCCTGGTTCCTCTCTCCGCTCCCCCCGGCGCCCCCCAATCCCCGCCCCCTTGGCCTGCCAGCCGCAGTCCCCCCGGCGCCCCCGCCCTCCTCCCGCGCCTGCTCACCCCCCCACCCCCACCCCGCCCCGGGGACCCCGGCTGTCTCTGGAACCCGCGCCAACCTCCTCCGGGGCGTCCTGCCGCCGCCGGGCCACCTCCCCGGCCCTGCACCCGGGAGCCACCCCGTTTCCTCTCCCTTCCCTACGGCCCACGAGCCAGCGCTGCCGGCAATGCTCGAAGGCGCGCCCGGACCCCGACGGCGCCTCGCGGTACCCAGGCCACGCTCTCCTCGGGGGTGCCTTCTTCCCCCCCTCTTCTGGTGCAGGGGTCTCCGCCAGGGTGACTGTGCCACCAACAAGGTCCGATACCTTCCCGGCCGTCCTGATCCGAGAGAAGGGGCGCCCGGGGCCGCGGGGATGCTCTGAGCATCCTCTGGGGTGCGGGCAGGCCTCTGCCCAGGGGGCCGCCCAGCCCGCGAGGTCCACAGCGCTGAGGCTGAAGGACGCTGCCTCCGCCCGTTCTCAACCCCGTGGCCCGGACTGACCCCAGTGCCACACAGGTGACATCACCTTGTTCCCCGCTGCAGGCGCGGACCCCCCATCTCACCCAGAGGAATGGCCGGAGGTAGGGGGGAGCCTGGCTGGCCTGTGCCTCAACCGCTCAGAACCCCACGATCTCCACCCTGCGCTCATCCTGCTGCAGCACAAGCCTCCCTTGCTCCTCGGGGCCTCACCACTGCGCCTCCTGCCAGGACCGCCCTTCGTGCCAACCTGCAGGGGGGCAGCTTCATTTCCTCCAGGTCCTCACTCAGAAGCCCCCTTGCTGTGGATGCCCTCCTGGTCACCCTCTCTCAAGTTTCCACCCAGTCCCCGACGTTTCCTATCCGCTTTCCTGCTTCGCTTTTTCTCCTCGGCGCTCAACGCTACCTAACACTGCAAATTTTAACTTTTTTCTTGTTTCTAGTCTCTCACCAGCGCTGCAACTTGCTGAGACCTGTGGGAGCAAGGGTTTTTGCCTGTGGTCCCCCAGTGTATCTCCAGTGCCCCGCGTACAGTGGGGAGTCCTCACGTAAATACCTGTTAAGTCAATGCATGGCTTATAGTGGGTGTTCAATATTTGTTGAGTGAATGAATGTTCTTAATCAGGGCACGTCACTGGATGCCTCGATTCCGCAGCATGGTGCACAAGCTCTGAGACTACCACCTGGGTCAAATCTGGACACTACACATCTCTGCCATGTGACCGGAAGTACTTTACTTAACCTCTCTGCATCCCACTAACTCCTTGCAAAACAAAATGATAGAATTTACCTCACGGAGCTACTCTGAGGGTTTGATGCCTAACACACCTTAGGTGTTTGCTTCCAACAGTGCCTGGTGCAAAATAAACGTTTATTAAGTGTTGGTTTGTTAAAAAAATAAATATTATAACTGTTGTTGGTACTTGTTGATAGTTGGCAAATATGCTGCTTTTTTTTTTACCGTGGCTGACATCTCGGAGTTCACTCATTTAAGTAAATCAGCACACTCGGATATAACGTTGCTAAATCACCTCTCTGATTTGGGGAAATCCTTCTCTGCCTTTGCTTAAGAGTGGAGGCAGAGCGAAACAAGAAGAGAAACAGAATAACAAGCAAAAATGTAAAAAATGATTCAGACCTTTAAGGCCTGATTTCATTTCTTGATTAGAAGTAATACTGAGAAAAACAGGCACGGCCATACCCAAATAAGTACAAAAACATTATCTGAAGGTCAGATTTGAAAGTCTGAAATTGTCTCCTGTTTTCGGACTCGCTGTACCTCTCCTGTATCACCATAGAGACTGAGAAGCATCGGCTCCATTATCCACTCAACAAGTACCTATTTAATTCCACTGTGTGCCAGGATCGGTGTTCCGTGTTGATTTCGACAAGGGAAAAGATCGCTTACTGCATAAGAGACTAAAAAAGCATTCATGAGACAGAAAACGAACCCATTTCCCTGGCTCACGTTTAACTTTCCATAGAGTCGAGTGTGGGAAGATAGAGGAAAAGACTGAAGATCAGCCAACGTACTCCATTTAGGCCACAAAATTAGGTAAGTGCAAGACTCCCAGAAGGAAATGCATGTGACAGAGTTTGGGAAAATACAAAAGACTGCATTTGTGAGTTACTAGGAAAAGGATACGTGACTGGTGACGTGTTCCCAATGATCCAATAAATTGATAAGTTCACCATGAAAGCTATCACTCCAGAGAGCAGCACCATAAGCTACGAACAAACCCAAAGAAACATTAATGTGAAGCAGTTGCGATCAGTATGGTCATCAAGTAAAAATACATTTCCTTAGGCATTCCTAAAAACTTAAATAACAACGCTTAAGAACAAGAGTTTCAAAGTTTCAATTTGGGGGAAAGCAGGAATTGAGGGTAAAAGAACAGAATGAATAGTATTCAGGAATGTCATTTTGTCTACAAAATGCAATGGAATATTCTCCAATAATATCCCGATATCAGAGACTGTGAATTTTCAGGTTCATTTTTCTTATCTATCTGAAGAAAAATTATTTTGTGATAATTTTCTAATTATTTTTTTTAAAGATTTATTTATTTGTTTATGATAGACACAGACAGAGAGAGAGAGGCAGAGACACAGGAGGAGGGAGAAGCAGGCTCCATGCCGGGAGCCCGACGCGGGACCCGATCCCGAGACTCCAGGATTGCGCCCTGGGCCAAAGGCAGGCGCTAAACCGCTGAGCCACCCAGGGATCCCATAATTTTCTAATTATAAAAGTAATGCATAGTCCATAAAGACAGATCAGAAAATAAAGGTAATAAGCAAAAAGAATATAAGGACTCTTTAAAATCCTAATCACCCACCGCCGTTAATACCGTTGCACAATTCCTTCCAGATGTTTTTCTATGAATTGCTCATATTTATTCTTACTTAAATTACATCAATGGGCATTCACTGGGTATCTAGTGATCTAAGCTAGGCCACACCTTTGGAGGAACAGAGTGGAGTCTTGTCCTCAAAGAGCTTCAAAACCACTTGAGGACATACTAAAAATCCTGATAACCACAGCTTGCACGTGTACATAGTACTTATTACATGCCAAGAACTGTCTGAAATGTTTTATGTACATTAGCTTAATTACTCCTCACAAACACCCATGAGGTAGTAAAATAGTATCTTTTTTTTTTTTTTTAACAGACGAGCAGAGACAAAAAGCAATTTGCCTTAGATCACACAGCTGTAAGGGGTACGGCTGAGATTTAAGCCCAGGGTAGCCTAATTCGAGAGTCCCTGATTGTAACCCACTCTGATAGAGTACCTCTTAACCAGGTGAGCCAGGGTGAGGTCAGGAATTGGATACAAGTCTTGAGCACTGCCTTGAGAACAGGCAAGCACACAACAGGTTTTTTTTTTTATCAATCTCTAGGCAGGAAATGTCATTTGGGGCTCGGGTTAGGGAGTGTTTGGATCTTCTATGTATGCACAGGTTAGAGAGAGAAGGAGGGGTAGGGTTGTCAGGAAAGGAAACAGTAGGAGCCTAACCATGGAGGCAGGAAAGCACATGGCGTGTGCATGGGTCACGGAGAAACCAACTTGGCTGAGGATGGAGGACAAAGTGGCTGGTCCACTGCAAGCACACTCTGTCCAAACCTTCCCTGCTGTTTTACTTAAAAATTTATAAAGTCATTTCCTACTTCTAAGTAAGAGAATTTAGATAAAATATCAGTTATGATTTGAATTATTAAGAAATTTAAATTCTGGGGGCACCTGGGTGGCTCAGTCAGCGAAGTGGGGGTCTGCTACTCCCTCTCCCTCTGCCCCTCCCTCTGCTCACTCACTCTCTCAAATAAAAAAATATTTTTCTTTAAAAAGAAAAAAAATTTAAATTCTAAAGAATTAAAGAAACCGTATCACATTTGAAGATTCCTTCTGTCTGGAAGGTTTTATCACAGCTTTTAGATTATCGAAGTCAGAGGAGGGCTAAAGGAGCTGATCTGTGTCCCACTTAGGTAAAAACAGTAATACCTCGTTTGTTTTACAACAGTGAGGTCCTTTATATTTTCAACTAACATACCTTTGTTCATTAAAGACGCAAAAAACTAGGGGCACCTGGGGGGCTCAGCAGCTGAGCAGCTGCCTTCGGCTCAGGGTGTGATCCTGGGGTCCTTGGATCGGGTCCCACATCGGGTTTCCCGCAGGGAGCCCGCTTCTCCCTCTGCCTGTGTCTCTGCCTCTCTCTGTGTCTCTCATGGATAAATAAAACCTCTTAAAAAAAAAGACTTAAAAAACTGATTTCTACAAATATACCATTGTTAATTTTATTGAATTGATAGAATGCTACTCGCGTACTTCTTAACGACTCGGCACGTCACTGAAAACCCAATAACGTGCTCTATTTTGAGGCATGATGCCCTCTAGGGACATTAAGGAACGAAGGTGACTTTTTCTTATTCAGTGGCCTCACACTGCAATGTTCTTAGTTCCTCTGCATTTTGGGGGGGCCTTCCTGGTGCTTTTCTCTTTTTTGAATTTATCGCATAAAGCTCTCTCCTTCTAGTGTAAAGCATCTAAGCTAAAGCGTTTGAAGACTGAGTAACCAAGACAGCTAGAACTTTTGTAACATTAAGAGGAAATATTAAAAAAAAAAAAAAAAAGGAAATATTATGAGAGTCAGTCAAGTGGTTTCTACTGTGGAAAAAAAGTTATATACCCCAGTATCTGAATCTGAAGCAGCCAGCATTCGGCTCAGAGGCGGCACCGCAGAGAACTTCAGAATCTAGGGGTTTCGGAGGCAGCAGGCCTGGACTCGGGCTCTGGCTCTGCTCCCTGGCTGTGGGGTCTTAATTCTGTCCCTCAGTCTCCTCCTCCTGGATCCTATTAAATATAAGGATAATAATGGTATCCACCTAATAAAGTCGTTATGAGGATTAAATTAAAGTCAACACTGGCAAAGTGTTGGAGTCGTTCTTGGACTGGAGTAAGAATTATGCTAAGTCTGAAAAACTGACACCACCAAGAAACAGGCCTTTTCTATGGACTGTGTTTCAAAGGCTAAAGTTGTGGGAAGCAGAAATTCCTTCCCTAAGTAGGCGGATTATACTTTGTAACTTAAAAAGTCCCCAAAGTACACTTCCCTTTGATCTGGCAATTCTACGCTCAGGACTCTATTCCAAAGGAAAGAAAAGTACAGCTCCGGAGGGCATCCGCATTAGGATGTTTGCTGCAACACTGTTCACAGGGGTCGAGAACCAGATCTATTACACGGACACCGAACAGAAGGTGTCGGTGAGATTTTCATGAGATTTTTTTTTTCATGAGATTTTAAGCAAGAAAAGCAAGATGCAGAAAATTATGTATGTTCCGATCCCACTTTTGTTGAAGAAACAAATGTTTAATTTACATATATACACGTGTATGTGCGTGCATGGTTCATGTGGATACAGATAGCATGGAGAAAAAAAAACCAAAAGAACACACACTAGAATGACTTACCTCCAGGGGCAGAGACAGGGGAATGAAATGTTGAATGTGTGTGTGTGTGTGGGGGGGACCCGTGATGAAAACAGTATATATATGATTCCACGTATATAAAATTGCGCGTGCGCGCGCGCGCACACACACACACACACACACACACACACACACGCTGTGCCTCAGTCTCTTAATCTAAAAAACAATCCTTAGCTTGCCTCCCTTAAAGGGTAATTATGAAGATTAAATGTGAGACTGGATCTTGAGATCGTGCTCTGAAAACTAAAAATTGCACCAAGAGTGGAGGGATGATTCTCTTGTTTTTATTTTTCTAAAGATAATTTTTTTAAGACGCTTATTTATTTATTTATTTGAGAGAGAGAGAGAGAGAGACAGCACAAGCAGGAGGAGGGGCAGGCTCCTCGCTGAGCAGGGAGCCCGACACCGGGCCCGACACCGGGCCCGATCCCAGGACCCTGGGATCATGACCTGAGCCCAAGGCCGACGCTTCACCCACGGAGCCTCCCCGGGGGCCCTGACTCTCTTGTTTCTTAGACCGCAAAGCAACGAGGACTTACCAAGGCAGAAGCTGACCAGGGCCCAAATATCCCTCCTTCTCCCAACAATGGCTCAAAGAAGGGCACGACGACCAGCAGCATGACGGAGGACATGGGGGCCTGGTAGTACAGCAGCTGCATCGAGTTCACTTGCAATTCATGCTGTTTGGCTCCTACCCACTGAAAACGAGGAGACAAGACAAGTTAGGTAGGAAAAAAAAAATTGCATCGGGGTAAACAAAAGATATGACCCTAGTCACAAGGGTGGGAATGTGGGGCAGGGTTGGCGGAAGAGGACAGGCCTAATTATTCTACAAGACTCTAGAGATCAATTTTAAAAAAAGATCAATAATATATATGAATGTCCTTTAAGCACCCTGGATGAAAGGAGCTTTATAAACTCAATGTATGACCATCTATTTTCCTCTCAGTTATAAAGAAAGAGAAAGAAAACCACCACCACCTCTGCTCCTTGCTGACCCTAGGAAATGGGGCCAGTCAGTGCATTCACACCCGGGCCCACAGGTACCTGGGATCTCGGGCAAAGGGGATGGGGATGGGAATTTAGGTGGTGAGCAGGAGCAGAGATGCGGGCCAGATTTCATTTCTTTCTAAAACTGCCCCCCCTCCAAAAACAGAAGGTACAGGGTGGGCAGGGCCGACTAAGTGGGGAGGGAGCCTCAGCTATCCCAGGAGGCTGCCCACGGCGGCCAGACCAGCGTGAGGCCTTTCATTCACCTTGGAAAACCCGATGGATGGCAGAGGCATTTTCTTCTTCATGAGTCATTTTTCCGTGGATAATCCTCCCCCAACACACTCGAAGAAATCTGATAACCACAAACCCTTTGAAAAGACTCCATCATTCAGAAGGTGCCTGGGTGGCTCAGGCTGTTAAGCACCCAACCCTTGATCTCAGCTCAGGTCAGGATCTCCGGGTGGTGGGATCGAGCCCAGGTCCAGCGCCCCCCACCCCCCAGCCTGCTTGCCCTCTCCTCGTCTCACCCCCCTCCCATCCCGCCCCACTCATGCTCTTTCTCTCTCTAAAATAAACAAATAAAATCTTTTTTAAAAATCAAAAAAAAAAAGGGGGACACCTGGGTGGCCCAGCGGTTGGGCGCCTGCCTTGGGCCCAGGGTGTGACCCCAGGGCACGGGATTGAGTCCTGCATGGGGCTCCCTGCATGGAGCCTGCTTCTCCCTCTGCCTGGGTCTCTGCCTCTCTCTCTGTGTGTCTCTCATTTATAAATAAATAAAATCTTTTTTAAAAAATCAATTAAAAATTTAAAAAGACTATTCACGAACACCGCCAAACCTCAAGTCCCATCAGTTCTCAACATGTTCTGCAAATTTGACCAGAAAGGTGGCTTTGAAAAGCTGGGCGGGGCGGCTGAGCAGGATGGGGGCAGCAGCGGCGGGTAACTAGGTCTCCCCGCCACGGACAGGGATGGGGTGGGGGGGCGCCCCAGGCTGCCCACCCCCCCGCAGCTGCACCTCTCCCACGGGGAACCGCCTGGAAGGGGGCTGGTGCCGGGGCAGCGGCTGCCCCCCGGCTCTGCAGGGGCTGGGGCAGGAGGCGCCCCATCACCGACCCTGGCTTACTGTTTCCAAGGTCGACGCCTGGCCTTTTTCTTTTAGCTCCGTGACTGATGTCATTACACCCCCCGCCACCCGGGGCGCCCACCCACCATCTGGGGTGCCCACCTGATGCCCGGGGCACCCCACTGCCGTCCGGGCACCTTCATCCCAAACTTCTCCAGCCTGCACAACCGGCAGGGACTGTTCAAACCCGACTCGGTTCTCACTCCCCCAAATTCGCTCCGGCAGTGTTGCTCCCAAAACGAGGCACCGGCTCCCCCAAGGACCGGGCCCCCTAACTTTCCTCCCTCCACATTTGGCCCATCCCACTAATCCACTAATTCCTTCTCTGAAAGATTTCTGGGCTCTATTTTGTTTTTGATTTCGTTTCTGTTTTTTTTTTTTTTTAAAGTTTTATCTATTTGAGAGCACGCAGGAGCAGGGGGAGCGGGAGTAGTGGGCTCCCTGCTGAGCTAGACCCCAGGACTCCTACTTGAACACACACACACACACACACACACACACCCCGCCCCAGGCTGCGGGCTCCTGGCCCGATGCTGTCCCCTACCTCAGTGCCTCCCAGGTGCTCCCCCTCCACGCTTCCCCAGGTCTCACTCACCCCTCCCTACACCGGTTCATCTGGGGCCTCTCCTGTCTCCAGCCCTCTCCTGGGCCTGCACAATGAGGAGCCCAGTCCTTGGCATGATCAGGACTGTGCCACCCGGTCTCACCCTCTCCAAGCCTCGGCCGCCACGAAGCAACTAGATCTCACCAGATAAACCAAGTTCTCCCCAAACGCCCTGTGCTTTCTCACATCCCTGCAGACAGACCTCTGCTGTATTTCTCCGCACAGCAAATTCCTGTGGGCCCTTCCATTAAAACGGACTTTTCCATAGAGTCTTACCCTCCACCCCCCTACGGAACCGCCGCTCTCCGGTGTTCCTCAAACCATCCTCATCCCCTGAGCTATACTGCTTGTGCTCAGCATCTTCGTGTGTTTCTACAAAGTTGGATTGTAACTGGTTTCCATCTTCATATCTTCAAGGCCGAGCACCAAGCGGAAGAAATGTCTGCTGAATGAATGAATGAATGAATGAATGAATAACTGAGTCAACCGACCTTCTACAATTAAACACCTAATACTCATCTTTTAACTCTTTCTAATGCCCTAGCAGTATGAGAAGTAACTGAGAAATTACACCTGGATACAATGGGAAAATACAACTTTTTAAAAATGAACTTTTGGGGGACTATACCTATTCCTTAACAGTACTTTTACTGTTTACTAATAATAGAAAACTCTGCCTATTAGTTTGTCCACAATCATTCCTTGGCCAATCCAGCTTCGAATAGGAACCTGAGGGATACAGAATCCTTTGATTCTAATGTATAGCAATTTTGAGACTTGTGCGAACAAAAATGCTCATATTGGCAAGGACCGTGAATACTCTGAAATGAAATTATGTGGAAGGGATACAAGAAATTCTGATGCTCCGATAAAACTTTTTGCTAGTCTTAATCAACATTTAATCCCTACTGGGCCAAACAAAAAAAGTCTGTTTAGCAAAAAAGACAACTAGGAATGTTCACTCACTATATCTAGTAAGAAAATCTAAACCCGCTGAAATACACCTAAGTACAACCTTAAAGCACAAAGCTGAGCTTCCTCTGATTACTCTCTGCAGTAATGAAGAGATTTTCTTCAAGAGAATCTCTTGGAGCCAAATGACAGCACTGAGTGGGTGCTCCGACCTTTCATGACACCGGTCTCTTATTTACGCTGCTTCTTGACACTTAAAAATGTACTCAACCCCAGAATGTTTACATAACAATGTTTCTTTCTTCTTTCTTTTTTTTTTTTTTTTAGATTTTATTTATCTATTCCTGAGAGACACAGAGAGAGGCAGAGACACAGGCAGAGGGAAAAGCAGGCTCCCTGAAGGGGGCCCCATGCAGGACCCCGGGATCATGCCCTGAGCCGAAGGCAGATGCTGAACCACTGAGCCACCCAGCTGTCCCTACATAACAATGTTTCTGAAGTGATCAGTACTAGAGAAAGTTTCAGATGCTAAGGCTGTACTATTAAACTCATAACATTCATAACAAGAAACCGTTAGTTTATAAGCTAGATATTTGTGAAAAAAGGAAAATTGGTTACACATTTTGGCTGACTTCCCAAGCAGGCACACCCAGAATTTCCAGTCCAAGGTTTTCAGTATAGAGAAAATACTGTCTCACTGCACCCTACACCGAGTTATTTTTTCCCACTCCGTAAGAAACAAAAAAAACCATACTCGTAGAGATTTTATGGTAATGAGGTAAGTGGACCCATGCACAAATTTTTAATGAGGGCTTGCAATCGGCAAGGCACTGTGCTACTACAGCACAAGAAGTGAAATACCCATCGCTGTACAATTGTAGAGAGAAATCACTGGAAGCTGACATATAAGTTGTAATAGCAGCGTATTTTCTGAGGCAAAGGTTTATACATTTGAAATTTTTCTTTGCGCGTTCAAATTTTGGAAATGCACTCGCTCCTTCACAGCCATCTTATAGTTAAAGAGTAAATCATAAATTTAACCAATGATCTCGGGCTCAAGTACAATGTCTTACAACTCATTCTGTAAAGATTTCCCAGATAACAATAATATAGCATTACTCCAAACTCAGACTGGGAAGCATGGGCATTTTACACTTACAACAGGTAGGGAGGTATTTGGTGAGCATCACACACCCACGTTTCTCTGTCTCCTTTCTTCTCTGCACCTCGAGTCAGACAATTTACACAATTACGCTTTCTTCCCAACAGTCTATTGTCTCTATACTGTATTTTCTAAACCTTGGGACACAGCTTCAAAATTTGTGAAATCTGCTAAAAAGGCACATAGAGAGAGAGAGAGAGAGAGAGAGAAAAAAGAAATTACCAACCACTTGATAAAGGGATGTAACTAAAACACCAAGAGCAGCAAACACCATTCCAAGGAAATTAAACTTCACATCGTAATAAGAATTTAGGATTACACCTAAGGTTATAGGAATCTGTAAAGAAAAAGAGGCAAATGTTGTTCAGATTCAATTCATGAAACATAAATTTAGCATTCCTTTCATGTTGTCTTACAAGGTCAATCATAAAAACATCACTGGGAAATATGAACCTCTATAAATGGGGTGTCCCCCCCCCCATTTGAAAGACCAATCTCCTTAAAGTAAAAATGCGTTAATTCTCTATGTTCATGTCTAATTTTATTTAAAATACTGGGTAAAATACTGAGCCAGGGCATTGCAATTGGTAACAAATGCATAGGCCCTGCAAGCACAGCCTCTTCTAACGAGTGTCTAAATAAACCTACAGGCATGAAACGTGTAACAGAAGCATTAAGAATTTAAGTGCTGCAAATCTTAATGACTCTGAGTTCTGGGGTGCTAAAACGATCACCTCCCTTTACTGAAAGGCAGGAGAAGACCCCTACAGTATGTGGCTGCAGATCCCTTCGGAGAAGTGATTTCACGCTGAACCGTCACGGAGGACCCTACAGGAGTGCGGTTCCCCTGGGCCAAAGGAGGGCCGGTTTTCAGGGTTTTTGCAGCTCCTCCGAGCCGCTGAACTGCGGAACGCGACGCAGCCTTCTCTTCTTACCCGCGGCACTTAAGGGTCTCCAGCAAACCGGAGACGCTGAAGCTCACGCAGGCACTCCCTCCGGGGCCGAGCCCGACAGGAGGGCCGGACGGCGGGTTTCCACCTCGCCCCCCAATAAGCCCCAAGTTAAAACGTGGTCACGGGCGATGACGCCCTTAGGGACCTGGAGACGACGGGCAAGAGCGGGGCGCGGGCCTCGAGGCTGCAACCTCCCGGGGGGGGGGGGGGAGAGGGCTCCCGGCTGCAAGCTCCCAGGGCGGGGGGGGGTGGCTCCCGGCTGCGACCTCCCGGGCGGGGGAGGGGGGCCTCGCGGCTGCAAGCCCCCGGGGAGGCCGCCGGGCCGCGCTAGGCCGGCAGGGGGCGCCGTGCGGGGCCGGAGCCACTCACCAGCGTGAGCTGCACTTTGGCAGAGAAGGTTTTGTGGTAGCAGAGGCTCTGGATGACTAGGATGACCGGCGTGGTCATGGCCTTGGCCAGCTGGTACGTGCCTACGGTGTTGTTCTGCAGAGACAGGTTGGTGAAGACCACGAAGCCGCAGAAGCTGAGCGCCAGGAGGACGAGCTTGGAGGGCGGCAGCCTTTTGGGGGCGAAGACGTCCAGCTTCTGGCAGACGTACAGGCCCAGCCAGGTGACCACGAAGTGCACCAGCGTCAGGCTCATGTTGGGGAAGCCGTGGTGCACGTAGATCCATTTGTTGAGGAACACGATGCAAATGGACACCAGCAGGTTGAGCAGGAGCCCAGCGGCGATGCGCCCGTGGCCCCGCATGCGGTCCGCAAGCCACGCCATGGCCCCGCCCGCCGCGGCCCTGCAGCCCCGGGACCGGCCCGCGTCCCGCCGCCGCCGCCGCCGCCGCCGCCGCCGCGACCCCTCCCGCCGCCCCGCGCCGCCCCGGAGAGTCCGCGCGCCCCGCGCCCCGGGCCGCGGGCGAGCGCAGCCTCGGCGGCCCCGGCCCCGCCCCCCAGCGCCCCACGGCGCCGCGGCACGTCAGCGCCCGCCCTAGCCCGGCCCCCCGGCTCGCCGGCCCCGGGGCGGGGGGGGGGGGGACCTGCGCAGGCGCGTGGGCCCGGGGCCTGGGTTCTGCGTGCGCATCCCGAGCGTCCGTGCGCTGCGGGCCGGGTGCTCGGCCGGCGGCGGCTCCCGGGGCGGGGCGGGTAGCCCGGGGCGGGGCGGGTCCTCCCGGGTCCCGGGCGCCTCTGCGGACGGGGCCTCCTCCCGGGTCGGCGGGGCTCCTCCGTGGTCCGGACCTCCTCTGGGGTCAGGGGCTCCTCCGGGGACCCGGCCTCCTCCCGGGTCGGCGGGGCTCCTCCTGGGTCCGGATCTCCTCTTGGGTCTGGGCCTCCTCCCGGGTCGTTGGGGCTCCTCCGGGGTCCGGGGCTCCTCCGGGGTCCGGGGCTCCTCCCGGGTCCAAGGCTCCTCCGGGGTCCGGGGTCCGGGGCTCCTCCGGGGTCCGGGGCTGGTCCGGGGTCCGGGGTCCGGGGTGGTTACGTGCGTGCGGAGCAAAGGAGCCCTGGCCGCAGAGGCGGGAAGCGTTACTTCTCGCAAACGTATTTGCAAAGATTTATTTTGAAAACCAAAATACGCAAGAGTGGGCAGTGTGATGAACCCTCTCTATCCCCATGGTTAGTACACTAGTCGGGTTTTCTTGGTTTTGAATCCATGTTGGGCCTTTTAATCGCTGAAAAATGCCTTTTAGGGGGCGCCTGGGGAGCTCCGCGGTGGAGCGTCTGCCTCGGGCCCAGGGAGTGACCCTTGGGTCCTGGGATCGAGTCCTGCGTCGGGCTCCCCGCAGGGACCCTGCTTCTCCCTGTGCCTAGGTCTCTACCTCTGTGTTTGTGTGTGCCTGTCATGAATAAATCTTTTTTAAAAAAAAAAGATTTTAAAATGCCCATTTAACTGCAATGCCTTAATACACTTGGCTAGAGTTGTATAGAATAATCACATTCTGAAAATTGGGTCTTGTCTCTTGATTTGTCTATTTTATTGGACTTTTTCCAAAGGTTACTTCTAGTGATTGTGATTCAAGTTACTTTCATTTCTTGAATAGGATGTTCAGTCCTTTATTTAAAAATAAAAGGACTTAGGGGTGCGTAAGTGGCTCATTGGGTTGAGCCCGACTCTTGGTGTCAGCGCAGGTCATGATCTCGGTGGCAGGATGGAGTCCCTAGGCTGGGGCTCTGTGCCCAGTGACCGAGTCCACTGGAGGTTGTTTCCCTTTCCCTCTCCCTCCCTTTCTGCTCCTCACCCCCTGCTCACTGGGGCATGCTTGCTCTAAAATACATAAAATCTCTGAGAAAATAAATTTAATAAAAGAACTTAGGCTGTGAGTGTCCCCTCTGAGAATAGCTTTATCAACAGTCCTCAGGATAGTGTAATATTCTGTCTTTAATTCCTAAGTAGTTTTAATTTCCTTTTTTTTTGGTAAGAATTATTCAAATATTGAGCATGTGTTATTTTATCCCAGGCACTAAACTTGGCACCTGGAAGATAGTGGAGGGAAAAACCAGACCGACCCTCTCTCATAGAATTTAATGACAACTGGTAGTGAACAGTAGGCAACTGTAACAAGTATTTTGAAGTAACAAAATAGGGTCGTGCGAAAGTATAAAAAGACCATCGGATCTAAACCTGGGGAGGAGTAGGTGGTCAAGGAGCTCCCCAAGGAGATGAATCTTTTAAGATTTGAGAATGAGAATTAGGCAAAGTCTAAGGACTAGTTTTCCTAACTCGGTCTTCCTGAGGACTTTTTCCTATCCTGCCACCAAATTCTATGGATTCTTACCCTACTGGGTGCCCTTACCACCGCCCGTTTATATTGCCATCCTCCCTTTTGGTTTGGGCCGACAGAACCCTCTAATCAGTGATTTACAATGTTCACCCTCCCCTGCTCCCTAATTAAGAGCCGTGGGACCCTGTCTTCATTTAGTCCACTCCATTCATTGTCTTCTTGTGGTTATAGATTCGGACTGATAATCCTAGCGGGAATGATAACCTGTTTTTTATCATTCATCTATGTATCTTGCAGTATTTGAAAATAATTGATATGAAACCTGATATTTGGATTGAAATAGAACAGTATCTAGTGGATTTCAAATGCCTATTGGGTTAGGGTTACTGAGCCTAACCCCATCTTTGCCATCATTAATCCAGTTCTCCCTCCCTCCCTTTTTCTTTTTCTTTCTTTCCTTTCTTTCTTCTTTCTCTTTTCCTTCCTTCCTTCCTTCCTTCCTTCCTTCCTTCCTTCCTTCCTTCCTTCCTTCCTTCCTTCCTTCCTTCTTCCTTCCTTTTTTCTTTTGTTTATTTGACAGAGCATGTGAACACAAGCAGGAGGAGTGGCAGGCAGAGGGAGAAGCAGGCTCCCTGCTCAGCAGCACTCAATCCAAGACCCTGGAATCATGACCTGAGCCAAAGGCACACATTTAACTAAGTCACCCAGGTGCTCCATTAGTCCAGTTTTCTACTGTTCTGGAACCTGCCACTCTCCAACTGATTGAATTGGTTAAGCAGCTTTCTCTCCCTCCTTCACAAAGCATAGGAGTCCTAATCCTTACTTGTCCTAAAATGGGATTATAATCCTTCTTATTTACAGACGTTGAAAATAGAGGTTCATGGCTGTTGCCTTGCAGCTAGAGGGATGAGAGTAAGATTCCAACCCAAATCTTTCTGGCTCCCGGCCCATTTTTCCTCATTTATATTATGGAAAATCCCAAACTTGTGCAAAGTTAAAATACCCATCACGTGGTTTCACCTGCTGCCATTTTCATGTGTACCTACTTCTTATCCCTCCATTTGATCTTTCAAAAGTAAATTTACATTCACTTAAATGAAGTAATCTAAACTGTGCATTTTTTTTGATAAACAGATGCACCCACGTTAACACACACCCCTAAGATACAGTACATTTCCATCACCTCACAAAATGCCCTAGAAAATCCCCACCTTCTCACCCCTAAGAGGAAACCACTGTTTTGATTTTCCTTCATGGTTTTAACTGTACTAGAATTTCATATAAGTAGATCATAGTGTATACGTCTGGTGTTTAGGTTCTTTTGGTGAGTAGAGCAGTTCTTTTTTTATATTGCTGAGTACTGTTTCATATGAACATAACAGCTCATTTAGTCATTCTATTGATGGTCATTTGGGTCTTTTCCAGTTTGGGGCCATTATAAATAATGCTGCTATGAATATATTTGCACAGGTATTTTTGTGGGATTTATTTTCATTTCTCTTGAATAAATATAGGAGTGAAATTTCTAGGTTAAAAGGATTGGTGATGGGCAGCCCGGGTGGCTCAACAGTTTAGTACCGCCTTTAGCCCAGAGCCTGATCCTGGGGACCCAGGATCGAGTCCCATGTCGGGCTCCCTGTATGGAGCCTGCTTCTCCCTCTGCCTGTGTCTCTGTGCCCCCCCACCCCCCCCGTCTCTCATAAATAAATAAAAATTTAAAAATAAAAAAAAATAAAAGGATTGATTTAAGAAAATCAGAACTTTTCCTCAAAATGGTACCATTTTATATTCCCCCAGCAATATATGTCAGTTGCTCAGGTATGGGGTGCCTGGGTGGCTCAGACAGTTAAGCGTCCAACTCTTATTTTCAGCTCAGGTCATGATTTCAGGGTGTGTTGAGCTCCTCACTAGGCGTGGAGTCTGCTTAAGAGTCTTGGTCTCAAAAAAAAAAAAAAAAAAAAAAAAAAAGATTCTCTGTCTCTCCCATCCTCACCCCAACCCCTGCATTCTTGCATATCTCTTGGTCTCTAAAAAAAAAAGAAAAGGGCAGCCCGGGTGGCTCAGCTCAGCGGTTTGGCGCCGCCTTCAACCCAGGGCGTGATTCTGGAGATCTGGTATCGAGTCCCGTGTCAGACTCCCTGCATGGAGCCTGCTTCTCCCTCTGCCTGTGTCTCTGCCTCTCTCTCTCTCTCTCTCTCTCTATCTCCGTCTCTCATTAATAAATAAATCTTTAAAAAAAAAGAAAGAAAGAAGAAAGAAAGAAAGAAAGAAGAAGAAAGAAAGAAAGAAAGAAAGAAAGAAAGAAAGAAAGAAGAAAGAAAGAAAGAAAAAATTCTTACTGATTCATTAACATGCATTTCCATTTCTGGGCCTTGCTCATACTGATTTCCCAATATGCGGTGCCTCACTCTTCTTGTGCTTTATCTTTGCCCTTGCGAATTCAGTGCACTATTCAAACAGCAGCTCTACTGCTACTTCCTCAGAGACCTCTTACCTGGAAATAGTTTCTTCTTGCACAAATTACTTGCATTTTTTAACAGCATTTAAAAAAATGTATTTCTTGTATTTCCCCTACTTAAAGAGCTGAGCTAGATTCCACTTATTTTGTATTTCCCAATTTATTCCGTGCTTACTGTGTACCAGACACTGTAAGTCTGCACAAGATCCAACTTAATTTAGTAGCCAGTTTGCTGAATGAGAGTTAATAAAAGACAAATGTTTTCAAAATAAAACAGTAACATAATATTAGACAAAAGTCTTGCTCCATTTTAACTATAGTATTTTTTTAAAATACTAAATTTTATTTTATTTTTATTTTTTTAATTTATTTATAATAGTCACAGAGAGAGAGAGAGAGAGAGGCAGAGACATAGGCAGAGGGAGAAGCAGGCTCCATGCACCGGGAGCCCGATGTGGGATTCGATCCCGGGTCTCCAGGATCGCACCCTGGACCAAAGGCAGGTGCCAAACCGCTGCGCCACCCAGGGATCCCTAAAATACTAAATTTTATAAGAAATTACCTACCTGGCTTAGAAATCAATCTACTTTCCATCTTTATAATTTTAAGATATCAGAGTACTTATGATCACAGGAGAAAAGTACAGTAATAG